AGGTGAAGAGCTGGAGAGCTGGCTCAGCAGTTGAAAGCACTTAGCTACTCTTGCAGAACTGAATCCAGGTTCAGTTCCCAGCACCCACATGGCAGCTAACAACCTTCTGTAACTCCAGTTTCAAGCAACCTGATGCTCTCTGGCCTCCAAGGGCATTGCATGACATGGTGCATTAACATTCATGCAGGCAATACACTCATACATATAAAATGAAAATAAATAAATTTTTTTAAATGAGAAATTATAGCTAGTTGTGGTAGTGCATGCCTTTAATTCCAGCACTCAGGAGGCAGAGGCTGTGAGTTCAAGGCCAGCCTAGTCTACATAGTGAGTTCCAAGCCAGCTGGGACTACACGGACACCCTGTCTCAAAAAAAAAAAAGACAAAAAAATGAAATTATCAGAGAGAGAGAGAGAGGTGTGAGTGTAGGCACATGTGCTAGTCAGAAGACAACCTTGGGTGTCAGCCCTCACCTTCCACCTTAAGGCAGGGTTTCTCTGGTTCCCTGCTGTGTACACCAGGCCCGTGACCTTCCAAGGACGTCTTCACCTTCCATCTCTCCTAGATGCACATTACCACATCTGACTTTTACATGGGTTCTGAGGATTCAAATTCGGGTCCTCATGCTTGTGCAGCAAGCCTTTTAGCCAATGAAATATCCCCCTACCCCCCCTTCTGTTTTTCTAAGTGTGTAAGTCCTGCCCATATATCATTTATGCCACCAGGAAGCCCCATCCCTGAAACAACAGCACCCAAGCCCCACACAACCTTTTACCTCTGTTTTCATTCAGACTTCCTCTTTATCACAGATCAAGACCAAAACCAGCCTAAAGTCAGTCTTGACTACCTGACCAAAATGCTACCGGTCTTGTTTTCCAGTATCCCTTTTACAAAGATGATAAGCTTGTGACAGGGGTTTCCATGTGTGAGGGAGTCAGAGTTCCTGGACCTCTCTGCCTCATAGAACGCACAACGAGGTGGATTAAAACCAGAGCCCCTTTTGAAGATTTCTCTAAGGAAAGCAACAGGCCAGCAATATGCTTTGGGGGGTGTGGGTGGATGCATGTTTAAATTTAGAATCGATAAAAAGACTTTGCTGAGAAATCTGTATGCTTCTTGCTTGTTGAGTGTTATACCAAGAAATTCTAATCTTTCCTTCGTGTGCCAACTGCGAGGATGCTCAGAAACACATTTCCTCTCAATCCCCATCTATTGGCATCATGCTTTGTATGAGTGCCTTTTATTTCACACCACTAGAAATCAATTTAGAAGAAGTGAGTTTCATTTGACTTGATGGAGCTTGAACAGTCATTAACTGAAAGACGGAGGGAGTGGATGTATTAAAAAAAAATCCTAGGGGCTGGAGAGATGGCTCAATGGTTAAGAGCATGTATTACTCTTCCAGAGGACCCAAGTTAGATTCCCAGCACCCAGATCAGGTGACTCACAGCTGCCTGTAACTCCAGATCCAAGGGATCTGATACCTTCTTCTGGCCTCCACAGGCACCTGCACTCACATATACATACCCACACACAGACACATACACACACTTACACACACACACACACACACACACACAATTTAAAAAATAAATAAAATATTTAAAAGAAAGATGAGGAAGAAGGGGAGGTGGGGGGCTGTCTGGGTTGTTGAAGGACTTTGTTTTGAGAGACAGTATCTCACTATGTAGCCCCAGCTGACCTGGAACTACCATGTAGACCAGGTTGGCCTGGATCTCTGTGACTCTGAAGAGATGGAATCAAAGGCATTCGCTACCATGCCTGGCCCTATTGAAGGACTTTGGCATGTAGGCAGAATTGTGCTGCCAGGTCACAGCAGAGTATATTTCTAAAGCAGCTTTCTTGACGTGGGGTTTTTAGAGGTATCAATCCCCTGGGAAGGGGGTCTCAAGGCTACACTTATTCTCACTGTCTGCCCAAGACTCTTCCAGTCAGTGCAACCCCCAGTTCAGAGACACAGTGAAGTTCTCTGCAATGGCTACAAGAATCTCCCTGTAGGGCATGGGCTTCTTCCAGAGCTTCAATGATGGTTAACGGAGGTGCTAGGCCCCCGTATCAGGGGCTCAGTGAAGGTCAGGGTGTGTCCAGGCTTCAGGTGAGCCTCAGTGATGGTTAGGGATGGAGCCAGGTATCAGCTGGGCCTCAGTGAGGGTTAGGGGTGGAGCCAGGTATCAGCTGGGCCTCAGTGAGGGTTAGGGGTGGAGCCAGGTATCAGCTGGGCCTCAGTGAGGGTTAGGGGTGGAGCCAGGTATCAGCTGGGCCTCAGTGAGAGTCAGGGTAGGAGCCAGGTATCAGCTGGATGTCCATGAGGGTCAGAGGGTGGGACCAGGCCCATGCACATGAACCTTCTATTTTCTAAAGGGGTCCATACTGTTTCTGCCTAATGGAGCTGCTAAGATTAAAGAACCTAGGTATCCAACACAGAGAAATGGGTACGGAAGATGCGGTATTTATACACAGTAGAATTTCTTTTAGCCATAAAGAATAGATGGGGCTGGGGATATAGCTCAGTCAGTAAAGTGCTTACTGGGTCTAAGTTCCATCTCCAGAACCCACAGAAAAAAGCCTGGAGTGATGATATGTGCCTGCAATCCCAGCACTGAAGAAGTGAAGCCCAGCAGATCCCTGGGCAGCCAGCTTAGCAGCCTAAATGGTGAGCTCCAGGCCAGTAAGAGACGCTGTCTCACAAAACAAGGTAGGGCCAAGTGTGGTGGCTCATGCCTTTAACCCCAGTACTCTGGAGGCAGAGGCAGGCTGATCTCTGTGAGATCCAGGCCAGTCAGTTTACAAAGAGAGTTTCAGGCCAGCTGAGGCTACAACAGGGAGACCTTGCTCAAAAAGACCAAAATAACCCAAAAAACAAAAAGCAAGGTGGAGATGGAGAGATGGTTTGGTAGTTAAGAGAGATTGCTGCTCTTCCAGAGAACCCAAGTTTGGTTCCCAGCACCCATGTTGGATGGCTCACAACCAACTGTCACTCCAGTTCCAAAGGATCCAATGCCTTTTTCTGGCCTCTGTGGATGCCAGAACACACATGGGGCACACACACACACACACACACACACACACACACACACACACGTGGCCATATCATTCTTGGGGAGATGGGTACAACTGGAGACAGTCATATCTAGTAAAGAAAGCCAGTCTCAGAAAGACAAATGTCATATGTGTTCTTTCATTATGGTTCCTAGATTGTATGTAGTTGCATAAAATCATATATGTATGGGCTAAAGAGATGGCTCAGCAGTTAAGAGCACTGACTGCTCTTGCAGAGGATCCAGGTTTGATTCTTACCACCCACATGGCAGCTAACAACTATCCATAACTCCAGTTCCAACGCTCTCTTCTGACCTCTGAGGGCATTGCACAACACAGGTGCACCTACCTACATGCAAGCAATATACTCATACACATTAACAATAATGATAATAAATAGAATGTTTAAAAATCATACATGTATATATTAAATTAAAATTGAAGTGAAATTATCTAGGGGAATAATTAATAGAAGGGAATGGAGGGAGAAAATGGAAGGTCAGGGAAAAGGAAGCAGCTCAACATGCAATCTATACCTGTAAGAAAAGTTTTTAACATTTAAAAAGATGTTCTAGCTGGGCGTGGTGGCGCACCCCTTTAATCCCAGCACTCGGGAGGCAGAGGCAGGCGGATTTCTGTGAGTTCAAGGCCAGCCTGTTCTACATAGTGAGTTCCAGGACAGCTGGGGCTACAGGGAGATCCTGTCTCAAAAAGACCAAAAAAAAATGAGCAATACCTATGGTAAGTAAATGAACGTTTTACTCAAACCAAGGTGGGGGGGGGCGGGGGGAGGTGTTAAGCCAGGGCTGCGGGATGTGACTGTTTCTGTATTTGCTTAGCATTGTAAGATACAGTAGATATTAGTTTTTTCTTTCAAATTCTGTAAAACTTGAAACTTGGTTTATGACAAGGAATGCTAATCTTTTAAAATATTTTGTTATTTTTATTTTATGTATATGCATGTATTGCCTGCATGTAGGTAAGTGCACCCGTTGTCGTGCAATGTCCGCGGAGGACAGAAGAGGCTATCAGATGCCCTGGAACTGGAGTTATGGACAGTTGTCAGCTGTTCGAACCCGGGTCTTCTGCAAGAACAACCAGTGTTCTTAACGGCTGAGCCATCTCTCCAGCCCTGGAATTCTAATCTTTCAATCACACCACACCCTGTAAGACTTTTAAGGAAAGGCGCTGATGCATTCCTGAGCCTAATGGCCTGGAGTAAGAGCTCTTCTCCCTTCCCATTATTCTTTAAACTAGCCAACCAGGAAAGACTGTGAGGTTGGACCCAAGTCAATAGGGAAGGACACAGTTCTCTTGCATTAGGGATAAAAGCCCCCAAGCTTCTGGGTCCCTTATATACTTGCTGGCTCTAACCGATCATACAGGTCACTCTTTTGCAAAAGTAAAATCTGCTTTACTGAGTTACTTTCCACTTTGTCTGCGTTTGGGGCATTGATGGGGTCCTAGGACCTCGGATTTTATTTCTAACAGCATGCACAAACCCTTAGCTTTGATCCCCAGCACCACATAAACCATGTGGCAGCACATGCCTGCCATTCCAGCACTTGGAAGGTAAGAAGATCAGGAGTTCAAGGTCATCCTTGGCTGCGTTGTGAGTGCAATGCCAGCCTGAGCTACTCAGACCCTATCTAAAATAAAGAAAAAAAATTTAGTTACTGCATATTAACTGTGCCTTAGCAAGTGCCTGGTACACACTGAGAGTGAGAGTAAATATTAGCTATTACTGTCACCCAAGTGTACAGCTGGGACGCAAAGCCCCCACCCTTTGGGCCTCGAGCCCCGCCCACGAGGTTCTGAGGATCCTGGAGGCACAGGGTCTCTAGCACAAAGACACGAGGTCCCAGTGGCAATCCGGAACCAATTGTGTTTGGATCGTGGTGCCCCACGGACCAGGCTCCAGAGGACCGGAACCGGAAGCTAGCGGTCCGGGCCTCTGAAAAGCTGCGATTGGAGGTTGTAGCTCATTCAGTGCGGCTTGTGAGGCCGGTGGCGGCCCATCTGCCCCTTGCGGGAACAGCCGGGGTTCCGCGGCCAGTGATTTTTTTTTCCCAGCCCTGGTATCCAGAAATGGGAAACAGCGGGGTGGGCGAGGGGCAGTGGTCGCAGGTAGCGCGGCACCCGGACTGAGAAAAATCCCAGAAGCCTTATGGGCATGTGCACACTGGTGTTTTGTTTTTGTGGTTTTTTTTTTAATTGGGATGGGGAGTAGATTGAGACAGGGTCTCCCCACGTAGCCCAGGCTGGCCTCCCAAGTGCAGCAGTGAGAGGCTTGTGCCACTACTTCCGGTTTGTCATCTGCTGTGGAATGAACTTGCTTGGTATTACTGCTTTGGCGCCCCAGGTTGTATCTGTGATTGATTTCCCCCTTCTTTTTAAGCAAAAGCCATCTCTGGACCATGGAGGACAAACCGTTGGTAGTATCTAAACAGAAGACAGAAGTGGTGTGCGGGGTGCCCACCCAGGTGGTCTGCACGGCCTTCAGCAGCCACATCCTAGTGCTGGTGACCCAGTTCGGGAAGATGGGTACGCTGGTCTCCCTGGAGCCCAGCAACGTGGCCAATGACATCAGCAAGCCAGTGCTCACCACAAAAGTCCTCCTTGGGCAGGATGAGGTAAATGTGTTGGGAAGGGACCTCAGGGTGGAGGGGAATCCTCTTTCCCGGGGGTCAGTTGTCCATAAGGATGTGACTGTCTGGTAGGTACCCCCTTACACATCTAAGAGCACGTCACCCAGATTCTCTAGGATCTTTCAGCTCTCGGGGTGTCCTGGCTGCCCCTGCTGATGCCTTTCCTGGTCCATCAGCATTTAACAAGCAGCAATACTGATCTTGTGAAGCTGTTCCTCCTCTGTTTGATTCTGTCGTAATACATTGTGTTAATGAAGGGCTTGAGTCCTGAGGGCCTTCCTCTCTGTCTTTCCAGGTTAGGGATAACCGGAGTGATGGGATACAGAGGCACCAAAGAAATAAACTTAATGATGCCTCTTTAGCATTTGTTTATGCCTGAAGTGTGCTGTTCACGCTGAGCTCTGAATCGCTGCTGCCTGGAGCATCCAGGGCAATGATTTAGGACAGGTCTGGGTCCCTGAGGATGCTTAAAGAGAGCCATCAGTCAAGTATAGTGTGTGATCTGGGTGTGGTGCATGCCTTTAATCCTGGCACTTGGGAGGCTGGAGCAGGATTGCCGCAAGTTTGTGGTCAGACTGTAGTGAGTTTGAAGCCCACCAGGAATGCATAGTGAGACCCTGTCCCCACAACCACCCCCCTAAAAGTTTGATGTGGCGGTACATTTGAGTGATCCCAGAACTTAGGAGGTGGAGGCAGGAGGATCAGGGGTTCAAGGTCATCCTGAGCTACATGAGACACTCTTTAAGGGGGGGGCATCAAGATGGTTTGGGGTAAAACACTTGCCCCACAAGCCTGATAACCTGAGTTTGATCCCCTGAACCCACAGTGGAAGGAGAAAACCAGCTCCTGAAAGTTGTCCTTTCGACCTCCACAGGTACACAGTCACACATATACCATACATATACATACACAATAATAATAAATAATTATTTTAAAATATTCTATTTAACTTTATGTTTGAGTGTTTTGCTGTCATGTATGTCAGTACATCATGTGTGTGCCTGGTGCACACAGAGGACCAGAAGAGGGCATCAGATACCCTGGAACTGGCGTTACAGATGGATGTTAGCTGCCATATGGGTGCTGGGTCTTCTGCAAGAGCAACCATTGCTCAAAACCACTGTGCCACCTCTGTAGTCCAATAAATAATTTTTAAAATGGGAGACAGAGGCCAGGTGTGGTGGTGCACGCCTTTAATCCCAGCACTTGGGAGGCAGAGGCAGGCGGATCTTTGTGAGTTTGAGGCCAGCCTCTTCTACATAGTGAGTTCCAGGACAGCTGGGGCTACAGGGAGACCCTCTCTCAAAAAGACAAAAAAATATTTCTTTAAAAAAAAAAATGGAGACAGAAGAGCTAGTTGTGTGGCATATGCCTTTAATCCCAGCACTCAGGAGACAGAGGCAGGCACATCTCTGTGAGTTCCAGGCCAGCCAGGGCTACATAGTAAGACCTTGATTCAAAAAAAGGGAGCAGGAGGCTGGAGAGGTGGAGTGATTAAGAGCACTTACTGCTCTTATAAAGGATCCAACACCTACATCTGGTGGGTTACAACACCTATAACTCCAGTACCAGGGACTTGACACCCTCTTCTGACCTCCATAGGCACCTGCATGTACAAGGTACACATACATACACTCAGGTACACATACACATAAAATTTTAAAATAAACCTTTGAACTTTCCTTAATCTGGGGTCTGGCAAGATGGATCAGCAGTTAAGAGCACTGTCTACTCTTCCAGAGGACCCAATTCAGCTAACAACCATCTGTAACTCCAGTTTCAAGAAATCCATCGCCCTCTTCTAGCCTTCGGAGGCATTGCATACAGAGGTGCACATGCAAGCAAAACACTCATAAACATAAAAATAAATAAAGTAAAATAAAAAACTTTAATCTGAGAAATGAAGACTAAGGAGAGAACTCGATCCATAAATGCTTGCCCCTCAAGCATGAGGACCTAGTTTAATATTCAGAACTCAACATAAATGAGTGTGGCAGCCGGGTGTGGTGGCACACACCTTTGATCCCAGCATTTGGGAGGCAGAGGCAGGCAGATCTTTGTGAGTTCGAGGCCAGCCTGGTCTACATAGTTCCAGGACAGCTGGGGCTACAGGGAGACCCTGACTCAAAAAAAGACAAAAAAAAAGTGCAGAACCATTCCTAGTACTGGAGAGACAGGAGGATCATAGGGCTTGGTGACTGGGCAGTCTAGCCTAAGGGGAGCTCTGGGTCCCTGAGAGACCCTGTCTCAAAGGAGATGGACAGTGTTCCTGAGGATGATCCCAACACCTGAGGTTGTCCTCAGGCCCCCACATGCATGCGCACACACACACGAGCTAGGTGTGATGGCACATCCCTATAATCCTAGCACTCAGGCTGAGACTGGAGGATCAAGGCTAACCTGAGCTACATAGGGAATTACACACTACCCTGGACTGCAGAAAGTGACACTGCCTGAAAAACTTAAAAAATAAATTAGCTTTCCTGTGGTCACGGTCTTCCTTTTCTTCCCCAGCCTCTCATCCATGTCTTTGCAAAGAACCTGGTAGCGTTTGTGTCTCAGGAAGCAGGAAACAGAGCGGTCCTCCTGGCTGTGGCTGTGAAGGACAAGAGCGTGGAGGGGCTGAAGGCCTTGAAGGAGGTGATACGGATGTGCCAGGTGTGGTGATGCAGTGAGCAGCAGGATGCTCAGGACCAAGTACAGCTCACTCGGCAGGGTCCTAGACCCATCTTCCCACCACCGGGACAGTCAGGTGGAGGAACTCTCAGGCTTTAGCCCTTGAAGCCGGAAACAGCATTTATGTCTCAGGGGACTCTCCCTATGTGGCTACTATGTTCTGGTGGGGAAGCGAAAGCAGAAGTGTGCCTGGACTGTGATGGGCATCTGTGGAAAGTAGAACTCAGCCGGTGGGACACGGGGCCCTCTGCAGCAGCACTTGTGGGGAGAATTTTTTTTTTATTAAAAGTCTAAGCCGGGCATAGTGGCACATGCCTTTAATCCCAGCACTCTGGAGGCAGAGGCAGGTGGATCTTGTGAGTTCAAGGCCAGCCTGGTCTACATAGTAAGTTCCAGGACAGCTGGGGTACAGGGAGACTCTGTCTCAAAAAGACCGAAAAAAAAAGTCTAAAACACTTGGCTAGCTTTGTTACTAATCCTGAGGAATTATAGTCACATGAGTTCATTTTAGCACACTTCAGGTAGGAGAGAAACCTCGAGCATAGTGCATGGTTGATGGGGACCAAAGTGGATCCCAGGCATGGCTTCAGTGCACACTGTCCACTTATTCTCCCATGACCCCTCAGCACCAGCTTCCACTCAACCAGCAATGAGGACCACCCCTTCTGTGCTGGAGACTCGGCCCCGGTCGTGGAGCTGCCGAGTCCGGTGAGGAAAGGAACAAGTAGTGCAGGGGCTGGACGTGGGGCAGGCACAGCCAGGACAGCCTTGCAGTGGACCACTAAGGGGTGACTGGACAGGAAGTCCACAGCCAGGGCAGGAGGTCCATGCTTGCTATTCCCAGGCTGTAGGGAGGCCTTGAGCTCAGTAAGGAGCAGGAGGAGTTCTGGGTTGGGTTTGGGCCCACCCTTTAGAAATACTCCCAAGGTACTCTGCAAGGGCTGGGGGAGCCAGCATTAGGCTGGCATTTATGTGGAGGGGTTTGTAGGTGTCCATACCTCTTGACAAGTGGCAGCCTGGACCTCCCAGGGTCCCTGATCACAGATGACTGGGAACTTCTGAAGGGAAGGTGGGTCTTTGCTCTGGCCTCATGGTCACCAGTACAAAGGCAGCTGTAAGGTTGGGTAAGAAGGCCACCAAAATACCAGGTGGTGTTCCCCATGGAGCCTGCACCTGTGCCCTTCCAGGGACCCAGGGTGTCACCCGTGTGCTCAGGAAACCAGAGAGGAACTTTTTACTTGATTTCTCTCTCAATTAAGGACTCAACCCTTGATTTCAGGAGCATGCTCTGGGAGCTGCCAGGGGCAGGTGGATGTGTTCTTCCAGTTCTCCTACAGTAAGCTGCAGAAGACTGGCCGGCCTCAGGGCTCAATCCTGCAGGTGCAGTGCCCACTGTATCCTGCTTCCTGGCCCTCTCAGAGCTTCCAGTCTCTCCAGGGGACAGCCAGGAAGAGCTATGGCCAGAAACCAGCTCAGCTGTAAGTCCACATGGGGATTTGGTCAGACTCCTGGAAGCAGAGGTAGTGTCCCAAAGCGTGTGACAGCCTTACTGCACCCACTGCAGCGCCCAACCAGTACCTCTGCACCCCCATCCCTGGCAAGCAGGACTTCAGACAACTTTGAACTTTGTCTACCGTTCTCCAGACCCTGGCTTCCCTGATCCCTTATCTTTGTGTCCCCTGGGTAGGCTGGTGTTGGGTCTGGCAGCTCCCATTTCTCCCACCCAAGTAGAATCTTGTACCTTTCATGCCAGTTGCCACCAGCCCCCGGAGAGCCTGGACCAAAACAAGTCTCACAGGCCACAGGGACAGGAAGGACCAGTGTAGGGTACACGTGGTGGGGCAGATGCCTCCCCAAGGCTTGACTCTGGAGGGAGGGGCTGAGTGTGCTCATGTGAGCCCTGTGGAGTGGCCCTGGGCAAAGGTCTGAGTTCAGTGTCAGCCTGTGATTATTGAGATCCCCCAGCAGCCCCTGCTTCCCAGCCTCAGATAGAGAGCAGCCTGGGTGGGGCCCAAGGCCAGATCCAAGTTCAGGTTTGTATCTTCTGTTTCCTAATTTGGTCGCTAATCGGGCAATAAAGCCAATTCACAGCCCACACCAGTGACCCAATTAATCTCTCTCAACAACCTGTCACATCTGGAGCTCAGACCCAGCTGCTCCCGGGTAGAGGAGCTGAGATTTGAGCCCAGAAGGGACACGTGGGCATCTGCCCTATTGTCAGTGCTCTTCTAAGCCACAGCTTCATCAGCTTCTAGGGGGCACTGTGAGGGTAGTTTCTCACAAAAATGCCTCTCCAGGAGCTGGGCCAAGCCCTTCCTGGCCCCCATAACCAGTTACAACAGCAGCTAAGGTGAGCCAGTGAACAAGCCTGGTTGAAGGTTGAACACCCAGATTGAAATCAAGAGAGAATCCTGGGGCTGGAGAGGAGTGCTCACACATGCTCCACTGGAGTTCAATCCCCAGATCCCATGTAACAGCCAGGCAGCTGAAGTGGCAGCCTGCTTTCTGTTAGCTGGTTTCTGGTTTTGGTGAGGGTTTTTGTTGTTGTTGTTGTTGTTAATTCATTTTTATTGTGTGCATGTGAATGTCTTGCCTGGATGTATATGAGCACTTGTGTGTGCATTGCTCATAGAGGCCAGAAGAGGGTGTTGGATGCCCTGTAACTGCTGTTACAGATAGTTGTGAGCTGCCATGTGGATGCTGGAAACTGGACCTGAGCCCTCTGCAAGAACAGCTAGCATTCTTAAGTGCTGAGCCATTTCTCCAGCCCCTGGTGTTGTTGGGTTTTTGTTTTTTGTTTTGGGAGGTTTTTTGAGATAAGTCTCCCTGCAGCCTCAGCTAGCCTGGAACTCAATATGTAGACCAAACTGGCCTTGATCTCACAGAGATCTGCTTGCCTCTGCCTCCTGAGTACTGGGACTAAAGGTGTGGCAACTGCCTGAAATCCCAGCATTCAGGAGTCTGGCTGGCTAGCTAAACCAGCTGGAATTGGTAAGCCGCAGGTTCAGTGAGAGACCCTGCCTCGACAAATAAATGCAAAGCAATTGAGAAAGACACTTTTGTCAAACTTCAGGCCTCCACACACCTCCATATGTGCATATAAACTCACACGTGCACTGACAGACATGCGAACATGTATACATACATATACACACACCACATACACATAAATTTAAAGGAGTTAGAGAGATTGGCTCAATGGTTAAGAGCACTGACTGCTTTTGCAGAGGACCTGAGTTCAGTTCCCAGGACCCACATGGTGGCTAACAACCGTCCTTAATTCCAGTTCCAGGGGATTCAGTTGCATGACACAGGTGCACTTACATACGTGAAGGCAATACAATCATACACAAGTCAAAGCAATTTTTTAAAATAATAAATTGAGGGGGCTAGAGCGATGGCTCAGCAGTTAAGAGCACTGACTGCTCTTTGCAGAGGATCCGGATTTGATTCCTAGCACCCACGTGGCCTACAAACTGTCCTTAGGGAATCCGAAACCCTTTTCTGATCTCCTCGGCATTGCACAACAGGGTGCACTCACATACATGCAGGCAATAATACTCATATACATAAAATAAAAATAAAATATTTTTAAAAATAATAATAATAATAAAGGCCGGGTGTGGTGGCACACACCTTTAATTCCAGCACTCAGGAGGCAGAGGCAGGCCGATCTCTGTGAGTTCGAGGCCAGCCTGGTCTCCATAGCAAATCCAGGCCAGCTAGGGCTACAGGGAGACCCTGTCTCAGAAAGACCTAAATAAATAAATTAATTAATTAATAATAATAAGTAAATTGAGAAAATGCAACCCTTGTGTGAGTGGCTGGAGCAGGGGCTGATGGGATGAGGTCAGAAGCCTGCATGCTGCACAGTGCGGCTATAGAGATGTGATCACTGTGGCTTACAGTCTGGTATCACAAAAGAGCAGGTCAGACCCTGTGAGGGGAGGGGCACATTGGCTCTCCTAGAAGTGAGGATTTACAGACAGCAAGCATCACAAGATGGCAGAATTGTGGGCAGATGGGAGAAATATTTAGATACAAGTCCAAGTCAGGACAGGTTGAGAGCTGTGCCCAGGCCCCAGAGTTCTGGGCAAGCCAGACATAGCACGTGAGGACATGTTCCCAGCTAGCTGCTGGGCAGAAGACTGGAGGAGCCCAGGTTGGGCAGAATAGAGCCCAGTGTCCATCCCAGCCACATAGATAAAATGACCTGAAAGGTGAGGATAGACTGCCCTCATGCCAGACCAGGAAGGGACACAGCACAGTGCAGGGATGGGGTTCCAGAGTGACTGGAAAGAGGAGGAAGGCCAAGAGGAAAAGAGGTCCCCAAAAGAAAGACCCAGCTACACATCCTGTGCATGGTTTCACAAACTCCAATGAGGACTCGGACTACCCAGAGCATGACAAGTATTGGGCCTACCTCGCCAATGGGGAGATCAAGGCTGGAGCACAACGGCAACTTCCCAAGGCTATACAACGGAGATAGAAGACACATCAAATTCTTTTTTTTATTTTTCTTTTATGTGTATGCGTGTATTGCCTGCATGTAGGTAAGTGCACCTGTGTCGTGCAATGCCTGAGGAGGACAGAAGAGGCTGTCGGATCCCCTGGAACTGGAGTTACGGACAGTTGTTAGCTGCCATGTGGGTGCTGGGATTCGAACCCGCGACTTCTGCAAAAACAGCCAGTGTTCTTAATCGCTGAGCCATCTCTCCAGCCCTAGAGAGATTATTATTATTTTTTTTACATTTACTTATTTATGTGTGGGGGCATGGGCATGCCATGGCATGCATGTGAGGCACAATTAGGGAGTCAGTTCTCTTCCACCATGTGGGTCCTGGAGATCGAACTCAGATCACCAGGCTTGGCAGTAAGTGCTTTTACCCACTGAGCCATCTTGCCAGCCACAAACTGCCCACTTCTAGAGCTTCTCAATACTGCTGGGCCTGGACAAACATGGAAGGCATTCACGAGGCCTGTGTCACCTGTTCCCAGCATCCCATGACAGGTGTCGGTAGCCTTGATCAGAGGTTAGGGATGAGGTGTGCCTCACACTCCCTCAGGTGCTTTGGGGATGAAAGGAAGGGAGAGCAACTTGGACAGGGAAGGGACAGATGAGGGCAGGCCTCTCCCCATGACCCCTCAGTGCATACCCACCCACTAGGGTCCTGGTTCCATTTGGAGACAAGCCCCCACTGGATTCATGGTTACAAACCTGTCCACATAGCAGCAGCTCAAGAACGAGGCCTGTGAGCACCAGTGGACAGAATAGGAACGGAAAGGCTGGTCCCTGAATC